TTTTTTGCAAAATCTTACAATCAGCACACAGCAATGATATCCTAAAGTCCCGCACCGTGTCTTGTCTCTTACCTTTTGGCACTAAAACCACAACCACAGTTCCTTGCAACCTGCCCATACTCCCCTCCCTTTTCATCGTATTCATTAGTTCTACTAAGAAGTACTTCAACACATTCCAATGGCTCACATAAAACTCGCAGAGCAAGCCATACAGACCTGGAGCCTTTTCCTCGTGCCATTTCCCCCCCCAAAGCCCTCCACACCTCCCCTTCTTCAATATCCCCCCCCCCCAAAAGCCATGCGATCACTGCCCATTAGCACACAAGATACATTCTCCCCCAACCTCCCGAAAGCCTCCACATCCACCCCTACACTCAGTAAATTTTTGCCAAACCACCTATCCCGTAATCACTCATTGCCTCCGTTGTTCTTAACTCATGTCCCGCCCTATATCCACCTAAGTCCTCATGTACCACCAGCCTATCAATTTCCTAGCCATACGGCGCTGCCTCTGTCCCCATAACACACAGGCCAATGGGCGGTCACCCCACACCGCCTCTTCAATTCCACCCTGCACTCTCACCGCATCAAATCTGGGCATTCTGCAAATCTCGAATCCTCCCTTTTAACAACTCGATTTCCTCCATGGGATACTGCCCTGCCTGCACGCCCCTCTCATAACAACTTTGCAACCTAAACCCCCGAAATACTGCTGCAACCCGTACGTCATCCAACCCTGGTACTTTCCCATCGCACATAAAACCGCCCCGGATCCTCTCCTTAGCTACCCCATCCCACCACCCCAGCAAGTCACCCACATCCCTACCCTCTCCCCACAAATTCTCCCACATTGTCCCCAAAATCTAACCCCGCCTCCTCCACCCCAAGAAGTCTCACAAATTTAACTTCCAATACCCTGGATACCTATTGGGTAAGCTGGCCCAAGTCAAGTCCGTATAAACAGCTCTATGATCCTTGTATACAGCATCCACCATATGCACACACATCACCCGCACACTTCTCGTCACATATAACCTATCGAGCCTGGCCGCGTATCCCTGTCTATGAAACGTATGCTCAACCATTAGGTCCCCACCTCCAATAACATCCCTTAACCCCACGCCCAGCAAAAGATCCCTTAGGCTAACCAAAAAACACCCTGCCCCCCGTGGCTCCACATCCTTGATTAAAAATTATTAGACGATTTCACCACAAAAGCCAGAGCTCACACCTTCATGGCGTCTCCCGCTGTGTATCACTCCGCGGCCGCTGCACATCCTCCTTCTCACGAAATTTCTTGAAACGTCAAATCAGCATCACATTTTAATGCACAATTATTATATTACTGATATTTACACATGAATTTAGGAAAACTATAAAAAAATTCCACATTGTGGCTGGGTGGAGATTGTTGAAAAACGACTTAATTAACTGCAATTACCTTTGTACTCCACTTTGATTTGCATTTTTTTACATAAATTTATAATTAAATGTATATAAATTATAATTAAAGGATACATTACATATTTGCACAATTCAGCATACTACCTATCTATGCATTTAATTACATCAATTAAATACAGCTCTAATTTATCTATTTGAACCTTTTTACAACTCTTCCTTTTAACAACAATTTAATTTCCTCTCCATAGATTTCTTCTCGCACTCTCTGAACACAGTATTTCAGAGGCTGTGGAAAATTATATGAAATATTCATTTTGTTTATAAATTTCAACAGCAACAATGTTACATTAATTAGGGTAAGGAAGAATATCTATTAATATCAAAGGCTAATGAAGGACAAATTACTGGAGCGGTGATCACAGTAATTTCAACAGGTTCAGTATGAGCCTTTTGTAAAGGCCAATTAACTTTATTTACCAGCCAACTCGGTGCACTGAACCATGGTACAGTAATAGCTAAATGGCTAAAGCTCCCGCTTCACACACGGAGGGCCCGGGTTCGATTCCCGGCGGGTGGAAACATTTCGACACGTTTCCTTACACCTGTTGTCCTGTTCACCTAGCAGCAAATAGGTACCTGGGTGTTAGTCGACTGGTGTGGGTCGCATCCTGGGGGACAAGATTAAGGACCACAATGGAAATAAGTTAGACAGTCCTCGATGACGCACTGACTTTCTTGGGTTATCCTGGGTGGCTAACCCTCCGGGGTTAAAAATCCGAACGAAATCTTATCTTATCTTAACCTCGTGACAAGAAGTCAGCTGGAGTCTCGTCATCAGGTATATGATTAAATGTTGAACCAAACTCTTATATTTTTCTTACATTTAATTAATTTCAGCGACTCTGTTTTGTACATACACAATCTTACTGTTGCGATTGCAATTCCATTGAAAGGACGTCGGTTTTCATGCAGACAGCAGTAACAGCCTTGTTGATCAGGCCCTCATCTATCGCGAGGCCTGATGATTGACCAGGCTGCCGGGGCGTTGACTCACTGAACACCGTCCAAGTATACTCCAGCAATACATCAAGTATACTCCAGCAATACATCAGGTATACTCCAGCAATACATCAGGTATACTCCAGCAATACATCAGGTATACTCCAAGAATACATCAGGTAAACACCAGTAAATTCCAGGTACACTTAAGGTAAAACTCCAGGTATACTAAAGGTATACACCAGGTATACTCCAGGTATACTCCAGGTATACTCCAGGTATACTAAAGCTATACTAAAGGTATACTCCAGGTATTCTAAAGGTAAACACCAGTAAATTCCAGGAATACTTAAGGTATACTCCAGGTATACTAAAGGTATACACCAGGTATACTCCAGGTATACTCCAGGTATACTAAAGGTATACTCCAGGTATACTCCAGGTATACTAAAGGTATACACCAGGTATACTCCAGGTATACTAAAGGTATACACCAGGTATACTCCAGGTATTCTAAAGGTAAACACCAGTAAATTCCAGGAATACTTAAGGTATACTCCAGGTATACTAAAGGTATACACCAAATATTCTCCAGGTATACTAAAGGTATACACCAGGTATACTCCAGGTATTCTAAAGGTAAACACCAGTAAATTCCAGGAATAATTAAGGTATACTCCAGGTATACTAAAGGTATACACCAAATATTCTCCAGGTATACTAAAGGTATACACCAGGTATACTCCAGGTATTCTGAAGGTAAACATCAGTAAATTCCAGGAATACTTAAGGTATACTCCAGGTATACTAAAGGTATACACCAAATATTCTCCAGGTATACTAAAGGCATACACCAGGTATACTAAAGGTATACTCTGGATATACATATCCATGTTAGACTCAATGTGCATAAAGTTGGTTATTATAATATTTTATTAAAAAATACCGCATTTTCTTAACTTTTCTGATGGACAATGGTGTTTATTAAGAATATTCAATATAATGTTTGTATAGCACAGAGTTCTTACAGGTTTTTTTTTTCCTTTTTAATCATTAAAAAGAAATCACGAGAAAGTCTTGATCTCTTGAAGATCATGAACTTTCTGGGAAATGGAAGGTAATCATGCTTAATCCAAGGAAGAGGAGGGGTATACTTGGGGAGAGTGTACCTGGAGAAGGTTTCGGGGGTCAAAGCCCCCTCGGCTCGGACTGAGACCAGGCCTCATGGTGGATCAGGGTCTGATCAACCAGGCTGTTACTACAGGCCGCACGCAAACCGACTTATAAACCACAGCCTGTCTAATCAGGTACTGACTTCAGGTGTGATAAATGGTTTAAAACCGACGAGTTGAAGATTGAGACACTTATGCTTCGCCTCACCTGACTACAGTACATAAGCCACTTCTACGGTCCTATGGTGTACTTCCTACAAGATTGATGGACTGAACACATCGACTGATTACCTCAAACTACTCTCCTTACACCTTTCTGATTTGTACTGGACTGATGAAGCCACTGTGTGGTGAAACGTTTCTTCAATAAAGATTCTTATATGTTGCATAAGTGTCTCAATCTTCAACTGCCTTTAGGTGCCTGTCCAGAGCCTGAAAACAGCCATAGGTCTATTGGTAATCCCCTTTGTATATACTGTGAGGCAGTTGAACATTCTTGGGCCCCTGACACTTATTGTGTTGTCTCTTAGCGTACTTGTGGTGTCCCTGCTTTTCATTCGGGGAATGTTGCATCTCCTGCCGAGTGTTTTGCTTTCGTAGGGAGTGATTTTCGTGTGCAAGTTTGGTACTAATCCCTCTAGGATTTTCAAAGTGTACATTATCATGTATCTTTCTCGCCTGCGTTCCAAGGAATACAAATCAAGGGACTTCAACCGTTCCCAGTAATTTAGGCGCTTTATCGTACTTATGTGTGCTGTGAAAGTCTCTTTGCACACTCTCCTGGTCATCAATTTCTTCTGCCTTGAAGGGGGCAGTTAGTGTACAGCAATATTCCAGTCTAGAGAGAACAAACAATTTGAAGACAATCATCATGGGCTAGGAATCCATAGTTTCCAAGGTTCTCATTATCCAGCCTTCATTTTTCTAGCAGATGCAGTACATACATTGTTGTGGTCTTTGAAGGTGAGATCCTCTGATATTATCACTCCCAGGTCCTTCACACTAGTTTTTTGCTCTATTGTGTAGGTAGAATTTGTTTCATACACTGATAAAGTTTTAATTTCCTCAGGTTTTCCATATCTGAGTAGTTGAAAATTTACTTCAATGAATTTCATATTGTCTTGAGTGGCCCATTTGAAGATTTGGTTGACGTCCACCTTGAGTCTTCCGGAAGACGCGGTGCTGTGGCTTACATCTCTGTCTGTCAGATATGACGATGAAGAAGAAGGTTTCCTTTTCACTGGCCTCTTGCTTTACATAATTCTTTCAAATTCTCAAAACCTCTAAATACTTGGATCATACCTATTTGTCTCACATTTGTACAGTGTTGTATGACCCCTGTGGGTTTTTCTTTTTCTCTTGAACACAATATTGATGTTGTTACTTCAGAGTATTTACTTACAGATATTTTCAATATTATTTCAGAGAGAAGAGTAAGGTATGATACAACTCCACGTGATCGTGACATCATAATACAGTATGGTCGTAATGAACACAACGTCACACAAACGAGGCACGAAAAGTGTAACAGTCTAAACGTGAACTACAAAACATTTTGTGGCATTATCAACAGAGACAAAAAGTAAGAAAGAGACTTTTTTCAAATTTAGTTATGAGCACAATATTGTTTTGTGGAGGGAAATTATAAAGCATAATATTTATCGTCTTATGCCAACAGAAACAACCCTGATTTGTATCCCAGTAATGAGCAGGTGAGGGCAAACAAGCAGCGGATGAAGCACTGGAGACAACAACAGCAGCAGCAACAATATTACCAAGGTAAGTTATGCCTCGCTATTGCTTAAATTTTACTGAAATAGATCACATGTATTGTTTTACCTCACTTGACTGACGCATAACATACCCTAATATTTACACCAAAAAATACTTTTTTGTAAGGAAAGATATAAAAGATATATAATATATATATATATATTATATATATATATATATATATATATATATATATATTATATATATATAATATATATGCAAGGAATTCGCAAGAGCAGGCGAAATATACACAAACACTGATCTCTGGCTGAAGGAGACTCGAACCTACGAACCTTGGAACAAGGTACGCAGTGCTTTACCAATCTACCCACACTGGACCAATACCTTGGAGTCCAGCTTGCGCTAGACTTTGATCCATGGCAGCCAGCTTTCAGGGAGAAGACTTACAGCTTTTCATCTCATCCCCTTCATTTCATCAGGCAGTGGCAAAGTGGCACCTAAATTTGACAAAGTTTCAGCCATTAAAATTATCCTGTTCTTCAGGATAAGAAATCTGCAAAGATTTTTAGGAATTGTAGTATTTTATAGGAAATTTAGCACAAATTTTGCAGAAATTTCTTACCAGTCCTAAAACTAAATTTCCCTGGACCTCTAGTTGTCAAGAGGCTTTTAACCGTGTTAAACTTCTCTAGTACGTTGCTCCCATATTTTTGTCCCCTACACCACCATAAAAAAGGAACCCCTGGCCCTGGTACCGGCAACCGTTCAACCACTCCATATGTCATAATTTGTTATAATGCTTCAGGGGAGAAATGGATAGTATGCTCTTTTATTTCCCTTTTTTTCATAAAGTAAAATGTGCATAAATTTGGCCTTAAGTTTTTTTTTGTAGTGGGTGGACACTGCTCCCGTTCGTAAGTACCTTGAACCTATGCTAGCCCTAAGGACAAACTCAAAGCACCATGAACCAGTCAATACAGGGGTTTACACTATACCCTGTGGAGGCTGTGACAAGATTTATGTAGGTGAAACAGCAAAAACCTCGACACCCGCTTCAATGAACACATTTACGCATGTAGGAACGATAACTTGAACAACCCCTGTGTACAACACCGAAATTCCACCAATCATCTCATGAAATTCAGGGACGCCAAATTAGTGATCAAAGAAACTAATTTCCGCAGACTCAAGTACCTCGAATCAGCACTGATCGCTGTTTCGAATACAATTAAACAAAACAACGGCAGATTCACCATCTCTGAAGTCTTAGCGAGAATCCTCCTGAAAACAGTAAACCCTGCCATCATATAGTCTCTCCTGTTATACTACACAAAGCACATTACAGAGAGTGAACACTGAAACAGGCCTACTCTATCCAGTCTATATTTGTCCAACTTATTTTTATGTTACCCAAGTAATAGCTTTTATATCCTTTCACTCATGTACGAATTAATTGCACTACCATATTGTATTACTACTACTACTTTGTCACTACTACTACTACCACTAGTGAACATCGAAATGGTACCTCACTAGTATTGCACCTCACTCTGAGCCTTTATATACCCTCTGTGTCCATATACTGTTTGTATCGGCTTGACAAAGCTTCTGGAGAGCGAAACGTTGCCACAATAAAATGTCACATTAGTTGCACTTGTGTCCTTTTACTTGACTGTTGTCTTGCTCAAAGATTGTGCCTGACTTGAAAGTTCCTTTGGGTTGAACATTACGTAATGAGTTGGATGGTTGAGAGGAAAGGCAGTTCCATTACTAATTCGTGCCATGGTGGCACACTACCCATGGAGGCGTGCCTAGTCCTGGCTATTAGAGCCATTTTGGGGTGGGGGTGTGGCATGCTAAGATTATGTTATATTTTATTCGACCTATGTCACAAATCCACATAGACATGCCTCCCAACCAGCAAACACGGTGCTAAGGGTATAAGAAGTAGGGGCATCCCCCATCGTTATGCTAAGCACCTTGGTTCAACTAGGCAATCACAGGAAAGCCTGCAAAAGTTGTAAAGTGATGTGGTACGCTCATGAACCAACACTGACAGGCTTACCTCCAAGCCTGGGCGATGGTGGTTCTTACCGTCTCTCTTGAATTACATTACCACAATGTCCTTAAATTCTTTCCAGGTCAAAAATTATAAAATACAATATCACTTTTTTCTTCATCATTAATTTAAAAAGAAGGTTTCCATTTAGTGAATTAATTCCAAATATGTTTTACAGATAATGGTTTACAAGACTATGGTTTACAAGACAATGGTTTACAAGACAATGGTTTACAAGACTATGGTTTACAAGACAATGATGGGCTACAAGAAGGTGAGTACGACCTCCACTTTCCTCAAGAATTGACTGAACCTCAAATAAAGTTCTCAAAATATTCCATCAAACCAAAATGACGAGCAAATTATGTATTTTTAATTTGTTAAGAAATCGAGCTTTATTAAATCGTTGTTCATCTTATTCATTAGTAAAACTGGGATATAACTCTGATGTTTTTCTTAGGTTAAGTTAAGCAAGATTGATCAGGAAACAAGACAAATGTTTCCTGACGCGGATATAAGTCATAAGATGACGCGCTACTGGAGCTATTGGTCATCTGACCGAGACCTTCCATTGGCTTACCAGTCCACAACTTTAAAAGTCAATACAAACTATGCCTTTCTTTGCTATTCACATATCGTGTAAAAAAGTAGAGGCAGTTTCCTACATAAAATGTCCACAGTTTGGTTAAAGATTATTTTAATTTTGAGTAACGAGATAAAAGATTTTTTAGGGAAATGTTTCACGAACACACACATACTGAAGGAGGTTCAGTGGGAAAGAGAATGGTAGGAAAATCAGTAAATGAAATGATGGACACGTAACAATAAAATGCAAGGAGGCAGAGAAAAAGTTTGTTCCCAAGGGTAACAGATATTTAATGGGAAGATCAAAACGAGCCCTTGATTTACCCGAAGGTATAGGGAGGCAAAAGCTAAGTGTACTAGAGAATGGAAAAAAGTACAGAAGAAAAAGGACCCAGGAAAATAAAGAGATTAGTTGAAGAGGCAGAAACGAGTATGCATAGGTGTGGATGGAGGCACAGCGACAGTATGAAAGCGACATTGCATCAAAAGTCAAGTTCGACCCAGAAGCTGTTGTATAGCCACATCAGGAGGAAGACAACAGTCAAGGACCAGGTAATCAGGCTGAGGAAAGAAGGTGGGGACCTCACAAGAAACTACCAAGAAGTATGTGAGGAGCTCAACATGACATAAAGAAATATTAACAGTGGAGACGGAAACGACTCCGGGAAGTCAGAACAGGGGGGTACACCAATAAGGGATATTCCAACAAGTATTGGATGAAATACACACAACCGAGGAGGTGAAGAAAATGCTAAGTGACCTTGATACGTCAAAGGCGGTGGGACTGGATAACTTCTCTCCTTGGGTCCTGAGAGAGGGAGCAGTGATACTGTGTGTGTCACTAAGGACAATTTTCTACACATCTATTGAAATTGGGCAACTACCTGAGGTATGGAAGACAGCAAATGTAGTCTCTATTTTTAAGAAAGGAGACAAACTCGAAGCACTAAACTATATACCAGTGTCACTGACGTATAATATACAGAGTTATCAAGGGGAGAGTGGTGGAACACCAAGAGCGGAACAAGCTAATAAACGACAACCAATACATGTTCATGGAAAACAAAACCTGTGTCACAAACCTATTGGAGTTTTATGACAAGGTAACGAAAGTGAGACATGACAGAGAGGAGTGGGTAGAGTGCAATTTTTTGGACTGCAAGAAGGCTTTTGACACAGTTTCTCACAAGAGATTAGTGAGATTATGTTTCAGTATTAATTTTAATTTATTTAAATGTAGTTTTAAGGAAGCATGTAGATTAACTTTACCAAGTCTTGGGCAATTTTACTCATTCTGCATAATCTTGTAATATCATATATGTATTTTGTACCTAGAGGATCAGGCATTTATAACAGGAAGGGCACTGCAGTGGATCAGAGAATATCTGACAGGGAGGCAACAGTGAGTCATGGTATGTGACAAGGTATCTGAGTGGGCGCCTGTGACAAGTGGGGTTCCACAGTAGTCACAGTCCTAGGACCAGCGCTGTTTTTGGTATATGTGAATGACATGACAGAAGGGATAGATGTAAAAGTGACGCTGTTGGCAGATGATGTGTAGTTAATGAGGAGGATTAACTCGCATGAGGATCAGGGAGGACTACGAAGAGACCTGGACTGGCTGCAAGCCTGGTCCAGCAACTGGCTCCTCTAATTTAACCCGGCCAAATGCAAAGTCATGAAGATCGAGGAAGGGCAAGAAAGACCGCAGACAGAGTGTAGGCTAGGTGGCCAAAGACTGCAAACCTCACTCAAGGAAGAGGATCTTAGGGTGAGTATAATACCAAGCACATCTCCTAAGGTTTCATCAACCAGTTAACTGCTGCAGCATATGGGCGACTGACAAACCTGAGAATATCATTCTGATACCTCAGAAAGGAATCGTGCAAGACTCTGTACACTTTGTACGTCAGGCCCATACTGGAGTATGCAGCACCAGTTTGGAACTCACACCCGGTCAAGCACGCCAAGAAATCAGAGAAAGCGCAAAGGTTTGCAACAAGGCTAGTTCCAGAGCTAAGGAACATGTCCTATGAAGAAAGGTTAAGGGAAATCTGTCTGACGACACTGGAAGACAGGAGGGTCAGGGAAGACATGATAACGACATACAAAATACTGCGAGATATGGATAAAGTGGACAGAGACAGGATGTTCAAGAGATGAAACACAGAAGCAAGCGGTCACAATTGAAAACGGAAGACTCAGATGAGGCAAAGAGATGTCAGGAAGTATTTCTTTAGTCATAGAGTTGTCAGGAAGTGGAATAGTCTGGCAAGTGATTTAGTGAAGGCATGACTGAAACGAGCAGGGAGCTAGATCAAGGAACAATAGTGGACAACTCAACTGACAATTTTTCAGAGAGTTGGATGGTACTCCAGGCAAAGATCTGCCCAGTCAAAATGACATTCAAGTCAGAAATGATACAAAACAAAATCCTGCAGTGGAAATCACTGTGAAAGGGTTCCCATAAATAATAGGGAGTTAACGTCGACCACAATTGAATACAAAATGTAGCGGAACAGCTGAGATAAAGAGTAAAAATGTGCCAGAGGCAGGAAGGGGAAGAGGGCAGGTATCGGCAGGCAGGAAAGCACATCCTTGAATGCAACAGCAAACAAAAGCGCACACAGATACACTCACAGCATCCCCTCAACCTCTACCACCCCACACCAACCATAAAAAAATAACGAGAGCCGAGCAACAGTCCGCCTCTCCCAGCACTAATACTGCCACAACAGCAGACTACCATAATATCCAGACTTGCCTACCACACAGTGAGTACCAACCCCTCCCACCCATCAGAATACAGTTCTAGAAAGGAAGCTGAACGTATGGTACACCAATGCAGATGGACTTACAAATAAGAGTGAGGAGTGGTAGGAAAGAATCACTGAGGCATCCCCGGACATCATAGCAATCACAATGATGATAGCAGGAGGTCAAGACAGGAATATGATGAGAGCAACAGAGTGATGGTGTACACACTAGCTGAGAATGCCAGAAGGGCCCACATGAGCAGGGTAAAGCTACTCCTCATAAGGGATTTCAGCCATTAGTTGACTGACTGGGAGAATCTTGAGCAACATGAAGGACCAGGGACGTGGAGAGCCAAGATGCTGGAGGCAGTACAGGAAAAATGTCATGTGTCAACATGTCAAGGATGTAACCAAAGAGAGAGGAAACGATGAACCAGCAAGACTAGACTTTGTATTCACCTTGAGCAGTTCATACACAGGAAATATAACACACAAAAGACCCCTAGGTGCTAGTGATCATTTTGTCTTGAGTTTCGAATATATAGTAGAGTTAACAATTAAGAGTGAAGCAGCACAAGGACGAGAGAAGCCAAACTTCCAAAAAGGGAACTACACAAGTATGAGACAATTCTTACATGAGATGAAGTGGGTAAGCGAGCTAGAGGGAAAGACAGTAAAATAAATAGTGGAACATGTGACCACAAAGTACAGGGAGGCAGCGTAGTAGTACCAAGGGGCAACAGAAACAACGAGAAGTCCAGAGTGAGCCAATAGTTTACCAGGATGTGTGGAGAGGCCAAGACCATGGAAAAAATATAGAAGGTAAAGGACCCAGGACGACAGGGAGTTGAGCTAAAGAGCCAGAAATGAATATGTATGGATAAGGAGGGAATCCCAGCATCAGTACGAGAATGGCATAGCATCATAAGCTAAATCTGACAGAAAGTTGTTATACAGCCACACCAGGAGAAAAACAGCAGTCATGGGCCAGGTAATCTTTTTATATTAAAGTCCAGGGTTTATTCCCTGGACCTCAGCAATGAGAGTCGCTCCTCTCACCGCTGGGCAACGGGGACCAGGTAATCAGGCTGAGGAAAGAGGGAGCAGAGCTCACAGGGGACGACCAGGAAGTGTGTGAAGAGCTCAGCTCAAGATTTAGGGAGGTATTGACAGTGAAGACAAAGAGGCTCTCAGCAAACCGAGGTGGTAGGGTGCACCAGCAAGTGCTGGACACGCTCCACACAACTGAGGAGGGAGCAGATGCACTGTTTGTGCCACTAACAATAATCTTCAAAACAGGGAAACTGCTTGATATGTAGAAGACAGTAAATGTAGTCCCAATTTTTAAGAAAGGAGACAGACAGGCTGCACTAAAGTACAGACCACTGACATGTACTGCCGAATAGGTAATGTAAAAATTAATAATTTTGTACCAAATGCACCTTAGAAAACTTACTAACCTTATCATAACAAGCGCAATTTAATTTAGCCTAATCGAACTAATTATATTTTAGATAAGTTTCCAATAATTTAGTAATAAACAAACACAATGAAATATAATTGCTCTATTCGGCAAGAAAGGGTTGCTGCTTAAGCCATAATTGCAAGTTTTACCTATTCGGCACGATATTATATATATATATATATATATATATATATATATATATATATATATATATATATATATATATATATATATATATAATATATATATATATATATATATATGCAATAAGATCACAGTAAACAGGTGATTTCAGAATATGCAAAACAACCACTCTGAAAGAATAAGAAATTCCAAGCGCTTTCGTGACTACTCACATTATCAAGGAACTATCTATCATTATCATAGTTCCTTGATAATGTGAGTAGTCACGAAAGCGCTTGGAATTTCTTATTCTTTCAGAGTGGTTGTTTTGCATATATATATATATATATATATATATATATATATATATAATATATAATATATATATATATATATATTATATATATATATATATATATATATATATACATATGTCGTGCCGAATAGGCAGAACTTGCGATCTTGGCTTAAATAGCAACGCTCATCTTGCCATATAGGACAAGCGAAAATTTGTGTGTGCAATAATTTCGGCAAAATCATTCTGAACCTAACGAAAAAAATATATTTCAATGTGTTTGTCTAGTATTAAATTATTGTAAACAAATCTAAAATATGTTTAGTTGGGTTAGGCTAAAATAAATTGTTCTTGTTATAATAAGGTTAGGTAAGTTTTCTAAGTTTCTTTTGGTGCAAAATTACAGATGAGAAATATGCAGGGATTAGTGAAAATCACTTTCAGGAGAGTGTCGTATTCATGCAGTTGAGGGTACACATCTGATTCAAGCAATTTGTTAGAAGGTACAAGGCATCACTGGAATCTTGAATGCCTCTTCGTTGCTCCATCCTCCTCAAGTCGTCCAGTTCGTTCTAGACTATATCATCAGTCATGAGTTTCTAGAGGTGCTCTAAGAGGGATGCTATTTGTTGTGGCAATAGATGATACATCAATCCCTTGCTGACTGACTGAGATGATTTTGCATTTCGATGGGTAAGGACGAGCTCCAGTGCCTGTAACTGTGTCATCACTTGAGAAAGATTTGCTAGAAATGTCTCCTTTATATCTGCCAGTGCGCCATCATCCACGAAACAGGTGTTTACTTCGCTGGTAAATCCTACATAGATTTCCTTACCCTTAGTGTAGATGAGAAGTAGGGCGAGAAGATATCCTTGCTGAACACTCTCCGTTGAATTTATTTCATGCTCCCCAGTGTAGACCATCTACTTGCTGTGTCTAGCAAGGACAGTCTAATTTTAATTTTACGTTGTCAGGTAAGCTGTTGATACACGCTCTTGCCACATTAACCACTGTATATTTTTCTTGTCAGACTCCAAAGCCAAGTTAGTTTGACTGTAGCAACGTAGTCGCCTCTTTTCAAATACTTCGGACAGCAGTTTCAGAAATATGGAGGCGATTAGTGTCGCTTTCGGTTATGGGCATATTTCCTGCATTTTTCTTTTTCAGGGCACAAAGCGATATACCAAAGAAGAAAAGTTTAATTTTGTTGGGAATCAGACAAGCTTTAGAACTGTGAATATGATAATGGTATACAATACTGACAAGTTGATAAGCAAGACACATGCAACAGTTAACTATCTTTATTCCATCTCTTCTCTCATCAAGATTTTTGCACCTCACATTGACAATATATTAATCTTCATTCTGCTTCGCTCATCTTCACATTTTTCCAGACTATGGAGCAGAATTCTTCTCCAGGCTGAGGGACTGACCACCTCTAAACTATGTCTTCCAGAGTAATGGACTGATTACATCGGCTTTACATTCCTATTGATTCTGCCGCCTCCTCTGTACTCGACTGAAGAGGCTAACTGTTTAGGCGAAACGTTTCAGAATAAAAGTACCTCACTGTTCCACATGTGTATTATCAAATTGTTAACGAACCATTTGATCTCCAACACAAGGGTTTCTGATGCATGTTTTCTGTCATTTATATATCATAGACTCAAACAGGGTGTGAAGCACAGATGTTACGTACACAAAAAATGTATTTCTTATGTATATATATCTAGAGAATTTAACCCATATTTATGTAGCTAAGGTATTGTTGATTATTGGTATTCAGGTCACATGCAGTCTTAATGACCCTGGTGTAGGTGATAGCATGTCTGCTGTCTGCTTGACAATGATATTATCTCTCATTGACAGGGGCAGTTGGTTACGCAGACCAAGCAAGGGAACATGACTTAAACGATATATTGACGGTACGTACATTTTATTCGTTACTCCTCTCTCCCATTTCCTGCTTTTTTTTTACATTCTCCTCTCTTCCTCGTTACGTTCCCTTCCTGCCTCTCTGGCCGCTCTTCACTTGAGAAATAACAACACAGTATTGTACACTTGTTAGACCGAACACTCACCTTACTATAACTCCAGTATGTATGTAATTATGTATTATAGTTGTACCTTTTATGTATGATCATTGCAGTGTCAAGACTGTCAACAATCATAGTTCGGTAAGTTTTATCTGATGTGTTCTAACATCTGCTGCAACAATGCTTGTGAATATTGATTTACAGTGTGACTGGCAATATTATTAATGTGTAATGTGATCCCAGCATAGGAATGTAAGTCCTTGGATAATGTACCTCTCATTACCACCAGACAAGACTCAGGAAATTGTAAACAACAAGATGGCAAGTGAGTTGAAGCCCTCACTCGTTCTCTTATTTCCATCAAACAACTCCATGTGAAGGAAATTTATCTTGAATTATAATATTATAACCAAAATGAAGCTTAATTATAATTAAAATTTGTAGAAGTGTGGGAAAGGCAGAAAATTCATGGTAGTATTAATGCAAATTTGTGTCGCTTTGCAGGAGGATAAAACAGAAGGTATCAATAAAGCGGACACCATGTATAAGAGAGGCAACTACCAAAAAGCACTAGATCGATATGAGAAGTTGGTGAACAGTTCTAGGTGCAAGGACGAAGAATTACCCCACGTATTCCTGATGATGGCCAACGCTTACTTCTTCACTTTTGATTTAAAAAATGCACTGACATACTGTGACAAAGCCATTGAAGAAGCTAAGTAAGTACTCCAATCCTTTTTAAATAAAGAATAAATATTAAATGGGAATACAACAAAAATAAATCTTAATGGGTAGCTTTATGTGTTAACCTCTACAGTAGTTATGATTTACAGTTGAAAAATGTTTTGATGATACCAAAAAGATATTAAAAAGACAGGGAAAACACCTAACCAAAAAAATGAATAGCTTAGAGGAAGAATAATAATGAAAAAGTTAATAAGTATCTAATTAGATAAAAAAAAAACAAGTTTGCTGTCATTGGTTCCAGTGAGATCTTAAGAGAGAAAAATCTTCTAAATCCAGGAGATCTTCTTAAGATATGATGTTAGTTATTCTTGGTAGGCGGTGTTGGTCTTATGTTACGTAGATGACGCAGCTTCTGTCAAAACTGGCTATCAGTATCTCACTCCAGATATCAAGGAGAGATGAGCAGTCGCTATGTCCCACTGAGTGCCTGGGTTCTAACTCCCATATATCCAGCATCTACTGTGGATGACCACTCCAGCAGCAGAACTTATAATGAAATTAAAAGACTGGTTACAAGACGGTTATTAAGTATAACACTGAAGAAAGAACAAAGGTGTTAATTGTGCGCCAATGTCATTACTGGTAACCAGGCTATGTATAAAATAAATTAAGCACTACTCCTGGTAGATCACTTTATCTGGTCAGGAAAAGAGTGGAGGTGAAGTGATTTTCCAAACTCCCACCTACACCAGGTAAGGCTAATGCTACCAAGAGTAGAAACTAAAGAAACTCAGACCCCGAAGAAATCTGGAGTTTTGCAGCGACCCGCTAGATGGCAGTCCTGGCGGTGACACACTGTAACATTCCCTCGGAGTCCGAACTATCATAAGCCCATTTCACTAACTTTTCCCTTACAACAATAATGCCCAGTTCAGGGAATTTATTAGAAGAAACTTTTTTACTGCAAGGCTTCTCAATCTTTTTGTTCTTCTGTAGCCCTTGGTCATTCTTACAGGTTCCCATGTAGCCCTTGCTCGTTCTGACAGGTTCCCATATAGCCCTTGGTTGTTCCCAAAGGTTCTCATGTAGCCCTTGGTCGTTCTGACAGGTTCCCATGTAGCCCTTGGTCGTTCTGACAAGTTCCCATGTAGCCCTGGGTTGTTCTGACAGGCTCCCATGTTCCCCTTGGTTGTTCTGGTACGTTCCCATGCAGCCCTCGGTCGTTCGGACAAAGGGCTACATTCCCTTTACCTCTGGGACTAGTCTTGTTGCAAACCTTTGCACTTTCTTTAATTTCTTGACTTGATTGACCAGTTGTGGGTTCTAAACTGGTGCTGCATACTCTAATATGGGCATGGCCTACATGGTGTACAGAGTCTTAAACGATTTTTTACTGAGGTATCGGAACGCTATTCTTAGGTTTGCCAGGCACTCATATGCTGCAGCAATCTGCTGGTGTGCGCCTCAGGAGAAGTTTTTAGTATTATATCCACCCCAAGATCCTTTTCCTTGAGTGAGGTTTGCAGTTTTTGGCCACCCTAGGCTATACTCTGCATGTGGTCTTCTTTGCTCTTCCCCGATCTTCATGACTCTTCATTTGGTGAGGCTAAATTCGAGGAGCCAGTTGTTGGACCAGGCTTCCAGCCTGTCCAGGTCTCTTTGTAGTCCTGCCTGATCCCCATCCGATATAATTCTCCTCATTAGCATAGCATCATCTGCAAATAGGGACATTTCTGAGTCTATCCCTTCCTTCATGTCATTCACATATACCAAATATAGCACTTTTCCTAGGACTGACCCCTGTGTAACCTCGCTCGTCACAGGCGCCCATTCTGACATCTCGTCACGTACCAAGTATTCTCTGATCCATTGTAGTGCTCTTCCTGTTATGCGTGCCTGATCCTCTAGCTTTTGCACAAATCTCTTGTGAAGAACTGTCGAAGGCCTTCTTGTAGTCAAAGAAAATATAGCCTACCGACCCCTCTCACTCATGTCTTACTGCAGTTACCTTGTCATAAAACTTCAGTATGTTTGTGATACAGGGTTTTCCTTCCCTGAATCTATGCTGGATGTCGTTTATAATGTTATTCCATTTTAGGTGCTCCTCCACTCTACTCCTGATAATCCTTTCCATGATTTTACATACTATTCACGTCAGTGACACTGGTCTGTAGTTTAGTGCCTCGTGTCTGTCTCCTTTCTTAAAAATGGGGACTACATTTGCCGTTTCCCATACGGTGTGTCTGTACTCACCTAATTGTGGTTGCAGGGATCGAGTCATAGCTCCTTGCCCCGCCTCTTCACTGGTCGCTACTAGGCCACTCTTCCTGCTCCATGAGCGTTATCATACCTCTTCTTAAAGCTACGTATGGATACTGCCTCCACTACATCATTTCCCAGACTATTCCACTTCCTAAAAACTCTGTAACTGAATAAATACTTCCTAACATCCCTGTGATTCATCTTAGTCTTCAACTTCCAACTGTGACCCCTTGTTGCTGTGTCCCATCTCTGGAACATCCTGTCTCAGTCCACCTTGTCGAATCGTCTCAGTATTTTATGTGTCGTTATCAAATCATCCTTATCTCACCTGTCCTCCAGTGTTGTCACGTCGATTTTCCTTAACCTCTCCTCATACGACATGCCCCTTAGCTCCAGGACTAGTCTTGCTGCAAACGTTTGCACTTTCTCTAGTTTCCTTAAGTGCATGCCTAGGTGTGTGTTCCAGACTGGTGCCGCATACTCCAGTATGGGCCTAACGTAAACGGTGTACAATATCCTGAACGATTCTTTATTTAGATGTCGGAATGCTGTTCTTAGGTTTGGTAAGCGCCCATATGCTGCCGCAGTTATTTGCTTGATGTGCGCCTCAGGAGATGTGCCTGGAGTTATACTCACCCCAAGATCCTTTTCCTTGAGTGAGGTTTGTAGTCTTTGGCTCCCTAGACTGTACTGCATCTGCGGTCTTCCTAGCCCTTCCTTAATCTTCAAAACTTTGCACTTAGTGGGGTTGAACTCCAGGAGCCAGTTGCTGGACCAGGCCTGTAGCCTGTCCAGATCCATTTGTAGTTCTGTCTGGACTTCGGCTGACTGAATTCTTCTCATCAACTTTACCTCATTGGCAAACAAGGATACTTCTGAGTCTATTCCTTCCGCCATGTCGTTCACAAATACCAGAAACAGCACTAGCTCTAGGACTGACCCTTGTGGAACCCTGCTCGTCACAGATGCCCACTCTGACACCTCGCCACGTACCATCATTCGCTGTTGTCTTCCTGACAGATATTTCCTGATCAATTGCAGTGCCTTCCCTATTATTCCTGCCTGCTCCTCCAGCTTTTGCATTAATCTCTTGTGTGGAACTGTATCAAACGCGTTCTTACAGCCCAAGAAAATGCAGTCTGCCCACCCCTCTCTCTCTTGTCTTACAGCTGTCGCCCTGTCATAGAACTCCAGCAGGCTTGCGACACAGGATTTCCCGTCCCTGAAAACATTGGCTGTCGTTGATAAGATCGTTCCTTTCTAGGTGTTCCACCACTCTTCTCCTGATAATCTTCTCCATGACTTTGCATGTCAGTGACACTGGTCTGTAGTTTAATGCTTCGTGTCTGTCCATACCTCAGGTAGTCGCCCTGTTTCGATAGATGTGTTGAAGATTGTTGTTAGTGGTGCACATAGCCCCTCTGCTCCCTCTTTCAGGATCCATGGAGAGATGTTATCCGACCCCATCGCCTTTGAGGTATCTAGCTCGCTTAGCAGCCTCTCCACTTCCTCCTCGGTTGTATGTATTGTGTCCAATACTTGATGGTGTACCCCACCTCTCCGTCTTTCTGGAGTCCCTTCTGTCTCGTCTGTGAACACTTCTTTGAATCTTATGTTGAGCTCCTCACATACTTCTTGGTCGTTTCTTGTGAGCTCCCCTCCTTCCATCCTTAGCCTGAATACCTGGTCCTTGACTGTTGTTTTCCTCCTGTACAACAGCTTCGGGTTAGATTTGGCCTTCGCTGCTATGTCATTTTCGTATTGCCGTTGGGCCTCCCTCGTTACCTGTTCATATTCATTTCTGGTTCTATAACTGCTCTACGACTGTATGTATGTGTGTGTGTGTGTGTGTGTGTGTGTGTGTGTGTGTGTGTGTGTGTGTGTGTGTGTGTGTGCGTGTGTGTGTGTTTCTGGTCATGTGTGGGGCTCGAGATAGAGTGGCAAGTGTGGTTGTTGTTGTTGTTGTCTATGTATGAAATATGCTGGTATAAACCTTGGTAATAAATACCGACAAGTTGGTTTAGAAAGACACGTAAGCAAACACTATAACATATTTATTAGAAAACGTTTCGGTCCTGGGACCTTGATCACTTCTAACATACAGAGGTAGAAAGACATTATATATATAGGCGGAGAGTGAGATGTGACGCACGTGACCTGAGGAATGTCATAAGAACATAAGAATGGAGGAACACTGTAGAAGGCCTGCTGGCCCATGCGAGGCAGGTCCTTATCAAAACAACCTCTACCTATGAGGAGGACGGGTAGACGATGAAATCATGTGACTCCTGTGTTGTTGGGTTGGTGCTGCTTAAGTATCATGTATGCCAATGTTTTTGAAATTTTGTAGTTTCCAGTGTTGCGTTCTATAGTGTCGGTAACGGCGATTAGTGAGGCTTCTATGTCATAGTGAGGCTTCGATGTCACAGCCCTCTTTACCAACGTTCCTACTGACGCTGCAATCAACATTCTGAGACAGAGGCTCACTGAAAACCACGACCTCCCTTTACCTCTTCTAGATTTCATCAATCTAGTGGAACTTTGTGTTAATTTCAACTTCTTCAAGTATCAGGACAACAGTTACAAACAATGCTTTGGGATGGCAGTGGGCAGCCCGCTCAGTGCTGTGTTTGCCAACCTCTTCATGGAAAACCTGGAGACAGAGAAATTCAGCACCCTCATTCCCAACACCGTTACCTGGCTAAGATACGTTGATGATATATTGGTTTTCTATTCGAGACGTCTCAATATCCAGGCCCTTCTCAACAAGATCAATGCAGTTGAACCATCAATAAAGTTTACACTTGAACTCGAAAATGATGGCAAACTTCCTTTCCTCGACGTTCTACTGTGCAGATCTCCCGACAGTGACAAACTTCTCTTCAAAGTGTATAGAAAACCTATCAACAAGGACGATCTTATACATTTTTATTCACACCAAGACACCCGCACTAAGAGAGGAGTCCTCATTGGCTTCTTCTTGAGAGCTCTTCGAATCTCCAGCCCTTGTTTTCTAGAAGAAGAATGCACTTACATAACACAAGCCTTTACACGTCTTCAGTTCCCATCTTTCTTCATCCGAGTTTGCAGACTCAAGGCACAAGCTATCCTCAACAAACCGCCCATGGAACAGCCCCCTAAACAGTCCATAGTACTCCCATGTGGCGATGTTGCCACGAATACTCGCCGGGCACTTGCTATGAGTAACATCAACGTTTCCACCATAAACACATCATCTATCAAAGACCTCACTACGAAACGCAGCCCCACACCTCTAACTTCTACAGCAGGCGTCTACACTATCCCCTGTGGGTTCTGTCCCAAGAAACATGTAGGCGAGACAGGCAGAGATCTTGCAGTCCGCCTGAATGAACATCGATATGCCTCTAACAGAGACGATGTAAGGTACGCCTGTGTCCTCCACAGTGACTCCACGGGGAATTTGATGAACTGGAACGAGGCACAACTAGTTCTCACCGAACCAGACCTCAGACGCCGACGGTGCCTAGAAGCCTCACTAATCGCCGTCACCGACACTATAGAACGCAACACTGGAAACTACAAAATTTCAAAAACATTGGCATACATGATACTTAAGCAGCACCAACCCAACAACACAGGAGTCACATGATTTCATCGTCTACCCGTCCTCCTCATAGGTAGAGGTTGTTTTGATAAGGACCTGCCTCGCATGGGCCAGCAGGCCTTCTACAGTGTTCCTCCATTCTTATGTTCTTATGACATTCCTCAGGTCACGTGCGTCACATCTCACTCTCCGCCTATATATATAATGTCTTTCTACCTCTATATGTTAGAAGTGATCAAGGTCCCAGGACCGAAACGTTTTCTAATAAATATGTTATAGTGTTTGCTTACGTGTCTTTCTAAACTATGAAATATGCTAAATGGCACTTGTCTGTAAGAAATAATAAAATAAATTGACAAATATGAGTACTATTGTTTGTGGATAACTGGAGCAAAGTGCTGCCGGCGATCCTTCTTGAGTCTCTAAACTAGACTAAAACGCGTTTGCTATGATTATTTACGAGTTCATTAATTTTGATGTGCTACATATATGTAACTGTGTAAGTTGAAGGAAGGAGAGAGGAGAGCTTGTCTTGATGGCTGATCTCTTTATTTGTAACCAGGGTGTTCTATGTTGCTTATGTTCTATATTTGTAACCAGGGTGTTCTATATTGCTTATCTTCTATATTACTCATGGTATACACAATGATTATACTCTCGCACCCTTATGTTCCTCATGACAAATGCAAATGTGCCCCTGGGGGGGTGCACGTACCCCCCATGAGGTGCATGTACCCCCCTGGGGATGCATGTAGCCCAGGGGGTGCATGTATTTCCTAGGGTGCTTGTATCCCAGGAGTGCCTTTACCTTGGGGGTGTATGTACCTCTGGGTGTGCTTATACCCCCAGGTGGTTCATGTATCTCAGTGGGTTCAGGTACCAATGGGGTGCTTGTGTCAATGGGGTTCATGTACACCCCGGGTGTGCATGTACCACCTGGGGATGTTTGTACCCCCATGGGGTGTTTGTACCTCTGGGAGTGCACGTACCCCTGGGGGTGCATGTGCCCCTGCGTTAGGAACCCCTGGTATTCAGTGTTTATATTTTTCATTTTATAGCAAAATGGGTAACGACATAGTGAAGAAACTTGCTGAGCAGAATCTAAAGAAGGTTCATAATTCTATGGAAAACCTTGGAAATATCTCCATTGCTGACAACTGCACCGAACTTGAAGTGAGTATTAATACTACTACTACTACTACTACTACTAAAAATAATAATAATAATAATAATAATAATAATAATAATAATAATCATAATAATATATAATATTTTATTTCTACAAGTACAAGTACAAGGTATACAGACCATAGCTGACATCAATGACATACTACTATATAGAAAGCCCTTTGTTATGCAAAGCATATCCCGCAAATTAGGTCAGTTTTGTCCCAGGATGCGACTCACACCAGTCGACTAACACCCAGGTACCCATTTTACTGATGGGTGAATATAGACAACCGGTGTAAGGAAACGCGTCCAATGTTTCTACCCTTTCGCTGGGAATCGAACCCGGTTCTTCACCGTGTGAAGCGAGAGCTTTTGCCACCAGGCCACGGGGCACCGACTGTCTTAATAAGCAGTAGAAACATCTCAAAGGAATGTTTACCCTTTTTAATGAGAAGTGCTAAACCTACAGGGGTTACAGAGTGCATAGGAAACTGGAAGACGAATGGATCATTGGATCAAGAGTCAGGAACTTACTGAAAGTGTTGAGGAGTATTTTGATCATGTCTCTTGTCAGTCTTTATTTTGATCATGTCTCTTGTCAGTCTTTATTTTGATCATGTCTCTTGTCAGTCTTTATTTTGATCATGTTTCTTGTCAGTCTTTATTTTGATCATGTTTCTTGTCAGTCTTTATTTTGATCATGTCTCTTGTCAGTCTTTATTTTGATCATGTCTCTTGTCAGTCTTTTTTTTTGATCATGTTTCTTGTCAGTCTTTATTTTGATCATGTTTCTTGTCAGTCTTTATTTTGATCATGTCTCTTGTCAGTCTTTATTTTGATCATGTTTCTTGTCAGTCTTTATTTTGATCATGTTTCTTGTCAGTCTTTATTTTGATCATGTTTCTTGTCAGTCTTTATTTTGATCATGTTTCTTGTCAGTCTTTATTTTGATCATGTCTCTTGTCAGTCTTTATTTTGATCATGTTTCTTGTCAGTCTTTATTTTGATCATGTCTCTTGTCAGTCTTTATTTCTCAAATTGTCAACATAAACTTCTATATTACAAGTGTTCTCACAAGTACTTTATTACCCATAAGGAATTAGTACATGTCTACACAATAATAATAGTAATAATAATAATAATAATAATAATAATAATAATAATAATAATAATAATAATAATAATGAAAAAAATTACATTACAAGTATTAATAATAATAGAAATAATAAAAATAATAATAATAATAATATAAAACAATAATAATAGAAATAATGACTGTTAAGGTACAGTGTGTAGATAGATACAGTTGAACTGTAAGAAGTTGGAGCCTTTAGAGACTAGCAAGTTAAAGAAGTGTATCAAGCTACTTATGACGGCTCAACGTCCCTGCAGCCATCCCTGGAGAGTTCCTTCCAGGAGCTGCAAAACTCCAAACCTTGGACTGTTTGAAATTCAATTAAAGAATTATAATTGCCCCAAAGGGGCGTTTGTTTCAGCATTTTATTTTAATAACTGAATGCTGAATAAAACTCAATGGCTCAATGGCTCGCGAATTATGAGGAATTTTGGTAAATCTAGACCTGCTATGACCTAGCTATCTGCCGCTCAGCCGACCTAACTAGGTTCATAACTGACTATACTTACCTGGGTATATGTATAGGACCCACAAATTACCCGATATCCGTTATCTTGATTGACGTAGTAGTGTCTCACTATGGCACTGTCTCTCTGAAGATTGTTCGCAACACACACTGTCACACTACACTGTTCTTCAATATTTGTTCTTTCGTAATAATGTCACAACAGAAAGATAAGTACGCTTCACTGTAATAGTTCTACCATGAATTCTGAGATTGTACAAGAGTCAACAGCACTGTTCCTTTGTTTGGGCAATGCGGAAGTGAAACACAAGTTTCCCGGTCATCTCCTGAAACCAATCAGAGCTCATCCCCGCACTTCGCCCTGGTGCATGGCCCTAAATCGCCGACTTCAGCATAATTTCTCTTCTTGGATATAATGGACATGCCAACAGTGGAGCGAAATACTGCAGTGTTTTCTGATGGAGAAGTGACAAAGTTAAAATATTATTAATAATCTAAAATTTTCAAGGGTTGGACCGATAAGTCAGTGGAAGCCTCGGTCAGATGATGAAAAGTGGCGGGTCGTCATATGACTAAGACTCGCGTCGTGAAACACTTGCTTTATTTCCTGACCAGTCTTACCTAACTTAGCAGAAGTGATGTTGATGGTTGGTATCATCTAATGGTAGTGTCCAGGTTGTGTAGTAAGTGGTTTGCTAAGACTTTGAAGATGCTATAGAAACCTGATTTTTATGGGATGTTGTTGGTTACTGTTATCATGGCGGCATCTGAACAGTAGATGGAGTATGTTATTTTCATGTATGATTAGTTAAGCATCTCGGAATTTCATGAGGCGGCTCTGTTTATTTCTGTGTTGGACACAAGCACGAAACTTTATGTTCTCTTATTCTTACTTGACTTACTTCCAGGAAGTTGAGTTTCGCCCATATACGTCTTATCATACCCTCCACAAGATATACGTCTTATCATTACCCTCCACAAGATATACGTCTTATCATTACCCTCCACAAGATATACGTCTTATCATTACCCTCCACAAGATATACGTCTTATCATACCCTCCACAAGATATACGTCTTATCATTACCCTCCACAAGATATACGTCTTATCATACCCTCCACAAGATATACGTCTTATCATACCCTCCACAAGATATACGTCTTATCATACCCTCCACAAGATATACGTCTTATCATACCCTCCACAAGATATACGTCTTATCATACCCTCCACAAGATATACGTCTCTTATCATACCCTCCACAAGATATACGTCTTATCATACCCTCCACAAGATATACGTCTTATCATACCCTCCACAAGATATACGTCTTATCATACCCTCCACACAGATATACGTCTTATCATACCCTCCACAAGATATACGTCTTATCATACCTCCACAAGATATACGTCTTATCATACCCTCCACAAGATATACGTCTTATCATACCCTCCACAAGATATACGTCTTATCATACCCTCCACAAGATATACGTCTTATCATTACCCTCCACAAGATAAAACAGACAAATAGAAGAGTTTGTAGCTATTTTAAACAGTAAAACTCTCATTATCAGGGACACAGATGAAGCTACGTTGTTCACAGACAGAACAATGCATTGGGTTGGTATTTTCTCTATAGTGTTCACGTTGTTCCTAGAATGCGCGCTGCACGTGGTTTGGTTGGCAACGCTCTCGCTTCACACACTGAGTGTCCGTGGTTCAACCCCCGGCACGGTTGGAAACATTGAACATGTTTCCTTACACTTGCTGTCACTGTTCATCTACCAGTAAGTAGGCACCTGGGTGTTAGTAGACTGCTGTGGGTCGCATCCTGGGGGAGAAGGTTGAAGGACCTGAATGGAAATAAGACAGACAGTCCTCGACGATGCACTGACTATCTTGGGTTATCCTGGGAGGCTAACCCTCCTGCTTAAAAATCCGAGAAAGTTCTTGTCTTGTGTAATGAATTCTCATTCCTCTTCGAGGAACTGTGGCTTGAACATCCTATATGACCTTAGGAAGAATCCTACCAAAGCGCCACTTTTAATTCTGTTATCATGATATGAGGCAAAAAGAAGTTACTGTAAATTTTCTATTTACTTTGATTTAGAGTCTGTCTCTGTCAGTGTGGAGTAACACGTCTAAGTACGGCAACTGGTTGTTATGATCTGCTCGAAGCTGTTGATGGTGTTGAAGAAGCTGTGTGCTTCCAGCTGGTGGGTAAAATAACCAAAATATCATAGAAGTATCACAACCAGGTGACTGCGTTGGGGATGGCTGGCATATGTGATTGATTTCCAGATTCTACAAACTGTTGGTTATACTTATGTTCCTCGACATCGAAACAATTGCACTTCTCTCATAAATTTATTGCAGGAAGCGTGCAGAACGCATTTTCGACAGGAACAACAGAAAAGACACCTGCCCAGCATATTGTTTTGCTTGTTAGCAATGTACAGTAGCTTTAAACATGACTGTGACAACGAGAAGTAATCAGTTTAGAACAGCTACAGACTCATCTCCTGCATTATGGTTGTGCTGTCACAACCACCAGTTTGCGTCATACCTAGTGGAGAATGTGTTAAGAAGTACATGGGACAAACAGCAAGATCCCTGGAAGCAAGAACACGTGAACCAGTACAGAAAATGACCTATACTGTCGATGATGTTTAGAGACCGTAATAATAAAAATAATCTTTGTTTTTACAAGTACGTGTACATTTGTGAAATAATGCTGTATAGAAAGTCCCTTGTTATACAGAGCATTTCGGGCAAATTTGGCCAATTTTCCCCCAGGATGCGACCCACACCAATCGACTAACACCCAGGTACCTATGTTACTGATAGGCGAACAGGGACAGCAGGTGTGCTAAGGAAACAAGTCCTAATGTTTCTCCCGTACGAGGAATCGAACCACGGACCTAAATGTATGAGCTGAGGGCTCTAACAATTGAGCTACAAGACACTGTAGCTCCTTCGGACCAGTGACTAGCACTTTCTCACAACAATAATGTTTCTATAGCGTTTCCAATCTTAGCAAAGCACTTACTACCCAACTTGGACATTTTCATTAGATAACACTAGCAACCAGTGTTACCTCTGCACTCCCCCGCTGACAGATCCTTCTCATTTCCTGCACATCTCACGTCAGTTACACTGCCACTACAACTTCTACCCTTTCACAACAAGTCACCTGATTCCTTCTGTTATTTAAACTCGTTTCTTAGGTTGTATACATACAAGGACTGAAGAAGCCAATTCCTCAGTAAATGTCTTGAACTTCACAAATGTGTCTTTATCTACAAACAATAAAAATAATATTGCCCTCAATGTACTGGATTAAATGATTCATCATAATATCACTGGGAAGAGGCATAGATGCAGAGGTTATAGATCATATGGGGAATGAGAGGTAATTATATTTTATCCAAGAAAGAGAAGTCTAGGTTATGTTTCAAATATCCTGAACCTTCACTGGTTGTCCAGTACCTTCGTTTTATATATTTCCCAGCACAATTCGTATTAAGTTTAATATCTTCATCTGTTAATTAGATATTCTTCTCACTAATTTGTATTAAATATTATTGTTCCAAGGAATGCTCTGGGTGTAATATAACTACGTTTTTCAACAGAGGCTGATGGCAACAATGAACATCGAAGAAAAATAATGGTCAGTTTACACTGCTGGCTGACCCACGATTCTGTTGCTGTCCATAAATCCACCGATACTCGGCTAGAGCACTATCAGTTTTGAATTCATATAAATTCTTTAAATATGTATTTCTTAACACTTCGGCCGTCTCCCACCGAGACAGGGTGACCCGACAAAGAAGAAAACACTTTCACTGTCACTCGTTCAATGATTGTCTTAGCAGGAACATGATGACATTACAGTTCAGGCGACCTTCCAAACCGCCTCCTTCACAATACAATGTATTTTCTACCTCCAGGACTCGAGCCTAACTAACCACATTCATGAATTTCTTAAAAAATAATGTTACCTTGCTCATACTTCAACAACACGTCAAATCACAAAAACTACTTCTCTCTACTAATGCTCTGTTTATTTCTGTGTTGGACACAAGCACGAAACTTTATGTTCCCTTATTCTTACTTGAATTACTTCCAGGAGGCCCACAAATGCCTGTTGAATGTCCAATTATTTACCACTGAAAACTTCCTTTACCCTCTCCCTCCAGTGTTTCCTGGGATGATCCCTACCCTTCCATCTCTCCTTCCCTCCACCACAGATTTATACTCCCTCTTAGTAGTCCTATATTACTCCATCCTCTATATATGTGTACTGCTTCAAGAACCCCTAATTAACCCTCTTAATAATTATTTTGGCAACTCTACACCTATTTTTAATCACAAAACTTCGAATTCTCTGTATAATATAATAAAACAAAATAAGTTAGAATATAACGTATTTTCCGGCATATAAGGCGCACGAGCAAATGAGACATATAAGACTATATTAGCGAGCAGTTGTAACATAACTTTAGTAAACAACTGTTGAAGTGTAACCCAGAGTGTAACCTTGACCATCACCTCCAGCATATAAGGCGCAGCGGGATTTTCCAAGACTTTTTGTGTGAAAAAAGTGCTCTTTATATGGCGGAAAATATTTTATGTGGCTTATATTTAAATGATAAATCACGAAGGCCAGTATATAGGAAGATGTCTGAAAATAGAAAATCTTTTTAAACAGCTATGTCTTTGTGTAAAATAAAATCAATAATAAAAAATATATTTATTAAAAGAATAAAAAAAAGGTATGTGGACATTCTGAAAAGAGATGAAACAGAAGAACAAAATATACAAATGCAATGTAGTTGATGGTAAAAAGAATTGTACAGATGTTTTAATAAAGGTCAGAATGTTTTAATAAAGGTCAGAATGTTTTAATGAAGGTCAGGATGTTTTAATAAAGGTCATGATGTTTTAATGAAGGTCAGGATGTTTTAATAAAGGTCAGAATGTTTTAATGAAGGTCAGGATGTTTTAATAAAGGTCAGGATGTTTTAATAAAGGTCAGGATGTTTTAATAAAGGTCAAGATGTTTTAATAAAGGTCAGGATGTTTTAATAAAGGTCAGGATGTTATAATAAAGGTCAGGATGTTATAATAAAGGTCAGGATGTTATAATAAAGGTCAGGATGTTATAATAAAGGTCAGGATGTTATAATAAAGGTCAGGATGTTATAATAAAGGTCAGGATGTTATAATAAAGGTCAGGATGTTATGATAAAGGTCAGGATGTTTTAATAAAGGTCAGGATGTTATAATAAAGGTCAGGATGTTATAATAAAGGTCAGGATGTTATAATAAAGGTCAGGATGTTATAATAAAGGTCAGGATGTTATAATAAAGGTCAGGATGTTACAATAAAGGTCAGGATGTTATAATAAAGGTCAGGATGTTATAATAAAGGTCAGGATGTTATAATAAAGGTCAGGATGTTACAATAAAGGTCAGGATGTTATAATAAAGGTCAGGATGTTATAATGAAGAATACACAATGCTTTCACGAGAAAAATTAAGTTCATTTTGTATATTCACCTCAGATACTAAAGAATTATATTGATAGATTTACTGATGAAGTTGATCATGATAGATTTACTGATGAAGTTGATCATGATAGATTTACTGATGAAGTTGATCATGATAGATTTACTGATGAAGTTGATCATGATGGATTTACTGATGAAGTTGATCATGATAGATTTACTGATGAAGTTGATCATGATAGATTTACTGATGAAGTTGATCATGATAGATTTACTGATGAAGTTGATCATGATAGATTTACTGATGAAGTTGATCATGATAGATTTACTGATGAAGTTGATCATGATAGGATTCATTCAAAGGTAATAAAACAAGGTAACAAGGCCGGAATATTGCTGTACATTAACATCTCTGTTCAAAGCAGGTGAAATTACAGATATAGAGAGTGTACAGAGAACCTTCACTGCACAAATAAGTTCCATCAAACACCTCAACTACTGGGAACACTTGGAAGCACTTGATTTGTACTCACTGGAACTGAGGCGAGAGAGATATAACATAATCTACACTTGGAAAATCCTAGAAGGAATGGGCCTGAATCTGCACACAGAAATCACTCCCTACGAAAGTAAAAGACTGGGTAGGAGGTGCAAAATACCTGCAGTGAAAAGTAGGGGCGCAACTGGAACACTAAGAGAAAACATCATAAGTGTCCGGTGCCCAAGACTGTTCAACAGTCTCCCACCATGCATGAGGGGTATTACCAATAGACCCCTGACTACCTTCAAGAGGGAGCTGGACAAATTCTAAAAGTCGGTGCTGGATCACCCGGTTTTGGTTCGTTCGTAGGACTTCGTGCGGCCAGCAGTAACAGCCTGGTCGATCAGGCCCTGATCCACCGGGAGGGCTGGTCGTGGACCGGGGCGCAGGGGTGTTAATCCCTGGAATACCCTCCAAGTAGATTCGTCCAGGTAGACTGAGTCGCCCATGAACTTGTTATATCATCATGTTTACTGAAGCTGTTTGAAATTCATTTCCAGGATATATTAGTAGGTATAATATATTTTGATTTTAGACAGTTTGGTTACAGTTGAGGATTATCTACTGATGAAGAAGAGCAGTTAGTGCTTTAATGGAGCCGTGTAACGCGTTACACAAGTAACACCACCACGTTATTGTGGCAGATATAATTAGTGATTGAGGAATTAATCTTGATATTCTATATTGTTTTACATTTTATAAGTACCAGGAGGAAATAACTGTGTCAGTGGTATACAATACTGACTTAACGAAGCATTAGATGCTTCGCCATCCACTAGATTAATACATGGACATAATCTTTAGATTGTAGAAATATATAGAGAAGACTGGACGACTAGGTAAGCAGTCCCTCAGCCTAGGAGCAGGTGGTGCTCCTAGGCCTAGGTTAGGATAGATTAGGTTAGGTCAGGTTTGTCAGGACACAGAATAATTGGTTCATGTCTTAGTCATATGATGACCCGCCACTAGAGGTTTTGGTCATCTGACGGAGACCTTCCACCGCTGTGTGGAATGGAACAAAAAAGTGATTATTACACTATGAACAATTGTGTAAATCATGGTGGCTTCCTCTTACTATTTTGTTGTTAACTTCCTATCGACAAAATGAATAAAGAAATATTCTCGATGTGGTTGAGGGGAAGATTCCACTTTCTTGAAGCAAATAATATCACATACGAGGATAATATTATCACATACGAGGATAATATTATCACATACGAGGATAATATTATCACATACGAGGATAATATTATCACATACGAAGATAATATTATCACATACGAGGATAATATTATCACATACGAAGATAATATTATCACATACGAGGATAATATTATCACATACGAGGATAATATTATCACATACGAGGATAATATTATCACATACGAAGATAATATTATCACATACGAGGATAATATTATCACATACGAAGATAATATTATCACATACGAGGATAATATTATCACATACGAGGATAATATTATCACATACGAGGATAATATTATCACATACGAAGATAATATTATCACATACGAAGATAATATTATCACATACGAAGATAATATTATCACATACGAGGATAATATTATCACATACGAAGATAATATTATCACATACGAGGATAATATTATCACATACGAAGATAATATTATTCTTTTCACTGATACAAATAAAATACAACATTTTTAAGTTACTGATTAATAAGTAAATCAGCCTTAATATTACTTCGTGAGAGTAGTAAGAGTGGTAATATATTTAAGTATAAATAGGTCGAACAATGTTATTATTTACATCAATATACACCAAGTGATTTGCTACACAACAAGAAAGTTGAAATTATACCAAACATGTTAAATTTAAGTTCATTATAACAAATTATCTACGAAATAAGTTCCATGAACTGTTGCTGGTATTTAGGGTAATAAGGTGTTTAGTTAGATATTTTTTCACCTTTATTGGCGCCTTTTGAAATGTATATAAAAAAAGGCTGAACTTAGCCACCTGTCGTACTGCATATTAGTAGTTGTTTATTTAAATATTATGTGGCCTTTTAATAAGCTAGGTATTTTAAACATTGATTTATGAGAATTGTGTATCTTTTTATATTATCAACTTGTAACACAGGAATTCCTTTTTCATACATTCCTCAAGTCTTCATTGACACATAATAATTTATCCATAATTATTAGGATACTACGAAATTTTGATGAACTAGAAGTATGTTCAAAGGCGGTTGAGGAAAGTATTGTGAGAGGATGTGGGCATAGACACATATACCCATCATAGGCTGGTTAACATTAAGGGTATATTTAGTATTTTAAGTTGCATGCCTCTAATAGTGTACTTGATCAAAAAGACAGTTGTGCAACATTTGGGTATATTTAATCTGAAATCGTTTCTCCAGCCAGTACCGTCTTCAGTTCAGTGAAGGGAAAGGTGGAAACTGAAGAGTGGTTTGAGGTAATCAATCCCTCATCCTGGAGTCTGTGTGTTCGGTCCATCAGTCTTCATAAAACTTAATCAAGATAGATGGTCTGGTCTGAACACATCGACTGTAGGCTGGGGGACTGATTACCTCAAAATCTTTCCCAGTTTCTACCATTCATCTATATACTGGACTGAGAAAGCCAACTGGGAGTGAAATGTTCCCACAATAAAGATACCCAAGTGTAGAATATGTCTCAATAGTCAGGAGTTAAAATAGCTGAAATATTACTAACTTAGGTAAGATTGATCAGGAAACAGGACAAGTGTTTCCTGACGAGGATTTTAGTCTTAAGATGACCCGCCACTGGAGCTTTTGGTCAACTGACAGAGACCTTCCACTGGCTTACCTGTCCACACCTTAAAAGTTAAGATTAAATCTTACAAGACATAATTACATATTTAATGAGGTTGTGGATACTACAGTTTATGTTGAAATTAGTTGATGATTAAGTCACATGTGCAACAGTTGATGATTAAGTCACATGTGTAACAGTTGATGATTAAGTCACATGTGCAACAGTTGATGATTAAGACACATGTGTAACAGTTGATGATTAAGTCACATGTGCAACAGTTGATGATTAAGTCACATGTGTAACAGTTGATGATTAAGTCACATGTGTAACAGTTGATGATTAAGTCACGTGTAACAGTTGATGATTAAGTCACATGTGCAACAGTTGATGATTAAGTCACATGTGTAACAGTTGATGATTAAGTCACATGTGCAACAGTTGATGATTAAGTCACATGTGTAACAGTTGATGATTAAGTCACATGTGCAACAGTTGATGATTAAGTCACATGTGTAACAGTTGATGATTAAGTCACATGTGCAACAGTTGATGATTAAGTCACATGTGTAACAGTTGATGATTAAGACACATGTGCAACAGTTGATGATTAAGACACATGTGTAACAGTTGATGATTAAGACACATGTGCAACAGTTGATGATTAAGACACATGTGTAACAGTTGATGATTAAGTCACATGTAACAGTTGATGATTAAGTCACGTGTAACAGTTGATGATTAAGTCACATGTGCAACAGTTGATGATTAAGACACATGTGCAACAGTTGATGATTAAGACACATGTGCAACAGTTGATGATTAAGTCACATGTAACAGTTGATGATTAAGTCACGTGTAACAGTTGATGATTAAGTCACGTGTAACAGTTGATGATTAAGTCACATGTGCAACAGTTGATGATTAAGTCACATGTGCAACAGTTGATGATTAAGTCACATGTGCAACAGTTGATGATTAAGACACATGTGCAACAGTTGATGATTAAGTCACATGTGCAACAGTTGATGATTAAGACACATGTGCAACAGTTGATGATTAAGTCACATGTAACAGTTGATGATTAAGTCACGTGTAACAGTTGATGATTAAGTCACATGTAACAGTTGATGATTAAGTCACGTGTAACAGTTGATGATTAAGTCACATGTGCAACAGTTGATGATTAAGACACATGTGCAACAGTTGATGATTAAGTCACATGTAACAGTTGATGATTAAGTCACGTGTAACAGTTGATGATTAAGTCACATGTGCAACAGTTGATGATTAAGACACATGTGCAACAGTTGATGATTAAGTCACATGTGCAACAGTTGATGATTAAGACACATGTGTAACAGTTGATGATTAAGTCACATGTAACAGTTGATGATTAAGTCACGTGTAACAGTTGATGATTAAGTCACGTGTAACAGTTGATGATTAAGTCACATGTGCAACAGTTGATGATTAAGTCACATGTAACAGTTGATGATTAAGTCACGTGTAACAGTTGATGATTAAGTCACATGTGCAACAGTTGATGATTAAGACACATGTGCAACAGTTATGATTAAGACACATGGGTAACAGTTGATGATTAAGTCACATGTGCAACAGTTGATGATTAAGACACATGTGCAACAGTTGATGAAGTCACATGTGCAACAGTTGATGATTAAGACACATGTGCAACAGTTGATGATTAAGACACATGTGCAACAGTTGATGAAGTCACATGTGCAACAGTTGATGATTAAGACACGTGTGCAACAGTTGATGAAGTCACATGTGCAACAGTTGATGATTAAGACATATGTGCAACAGTTGATGATTAAGACACATGTGCAACAGTAGATGATTAAGACACATGTGCAACAGTAGATGATTAAGACACATGTGTAACAGTTGATGATTAAGACACATGTACAACAGCTGATGTTTAAGTCACTTGTATTGCACATGTGACTTAATCATCAACTAGACTGTATGTTCAATTTGTCACAGATTTATAATACTGAATCAGTTGGGGACGGACATTTTACCATTCATGTTTAATTTGGCTGAAGATATTAAAAAAATATGATATATATCCTTAGATTTTAAGAAATTAAGTCGGAACTGTCTAAGACTGTTGAGGCAAATTATAGCTGATACGGGAACTTGACAGGAAATTCAGTAACTTTGTCTTGGGACTTGTAAATGTTTCACACATGAAGCGTCGTAGGTAAACATCATCACTGTCATTCGTTAATTTAGACATTTAGAGCTTTTTGAAAGGTCATCCCCTGTTGCAGTGTTGTCCAATATGGGATGTTCGCTCTCCTTCAGTGTGTAAGATGCCTCAGAAGAGCTGCATGAAGAGTCCCTTCGATACAATAACATTTTTGTTCTATTATTTACTAACATTATGTTAATTCTGACTAAAAATTGCATGCCGATCAATTGTGGAATATATTGTGAATTAAGGAAAGATAAATAAATCCACCAAGATCACGTTCAATCAAATAAGCTTTTATTTGTTCAGAAAGTCTCGTCTCACTTCAAATTATCAGTAAAACGCAAAACAAGAAGTTTCACTGATATCATTATTTTTTCTTGTTAAGAGTAAGTCTTATTAGCCAAATGGAGAATTTATTTTTTGCACTTCTGAATATATATTATTACTGGAGTACTTTGTTTAGTTCTATAAATCTTAAAATAAACTGTAAATCCAATGTCTTTGGAATGTCGATTTAATCCTTTTTAACCAATCAAAAATTGTATGAGATTGTGTAAGTGGGCTGGTATAGATCTGTGTGATGTGTAACGTGAAGATGTACCTAGTGTGATCTCCGCTCTTAGACCAACTGTATCTTCAGTTAAGTCAGAGTAAGAGGAAGCTAGAAGAGAGATTCAGTGACTGAAAATTATGTGCAAGTATTATCCCCGGAACAACGTCGTCCAGGACAGTAAGTATTATCCCCGGAACAACGTCGTCCAGGATAGCAAGTATTGTCCCCAGAACAACGTCGTCCAGGACAGTATTATCCCCGGAACAACGCCGTCCAGGATAGCCGCGGTGATGATCCCACCAATGACTGGATGCTGGCTGGAAAGAACCAGACTAATTGTTATATTTTAACACGCAGACAACGCTGAAACTACGGAGTCCCTCACCAATATCAAGGCAAAATATTACTTTGACCGTGTAATATGGATACCTAGGTACAACCTTTTCAGATGCCACAGAAAGAACAGGAAACAAGGGGGTGGGGTTGGCCTGCATGTCAAAGAGTCGCTCATTTGCACAGAGATAGTGAACACCACAAATGATGTAGTTGAAGTTCTGACAATAAAATCGAGAACCAAAACTTAGTCATTGTAATTGTATATAAGCCACCTGATGCAACTTCCCAACAATTCAAAGAACAGCTATCAAAAATTGACTCCTGTCTGGAAAATTTCCAGCCCCATCCCCAAACATCTTGCTGCTTGGTGACTTCAGTCTAAGACATACAAATAATGTTATAGCAGAAATAATCCCTGGAGGCAGCTCAGATGAAAAGTCACACACACATGAGCTGCTGAATTTCTGCAATAAACGCACCCTAAGTCAGATAGTGGAGCCAGCAAGACTGAAGAACACACTAGACCTTATTTTCACAAATAATGAGGACCTGATAAGAAACATAACACTATCAAAAACAACAAATTCTGAGCACAATCTAATCGAAGTCCAGACTCACATGCACAGGGGTCCTGATCAGCAAAATGCATACAGCTATGAGGGTACCTATACCAAATTCAACTTCAACAACAAGAACATAAACTGGGATCAGGTAAACTATGCCCTAAATGAAACACGTTGGGATGATATCTTAAATTACATGGACCCTAATCAGTCTCTTGAAAAGATCAACCTCCTGGTAGCTGAAGTATGTTCAAGGCATATTCCCCTGAGAAAAAACAAGAAGTAAACTGGAGAGAGAGAGAGAGACGCTCCCTCTACAGGAGAAGACGAAGAATTACTGAGCTTCTCAAGAATGCCAGATTATCTGATACACGGAAGGAAGTGCTAACCAGGGAAGTGGAAAATATTGAGTTGAAGTTAAAGGATTCATACAGAATCCAGAAGAGACAAGAGGAGCTAAAAGCGATTAGGGAAATTGAAAGAAATTCGAAATATTTCTTTTCATATGCCAAAAACAAGGCAAAAACGACTTCTAGTATAGGGCCCCTGCTCAGACAAGACGGATCCTACACACATGACATAAACGAAATGAGTGAGATACTGAAATCTCAATATGACTCAGTGTTCAGCAAGCCACTAATCAGTCTAAAGATAGACAATTCAAACAATGTTTTCATGAATGAGCCTCAAAACCCTGCCAATGTATGCCAAATTTCTGAAATAACCCTAATTCCACTAGACTTTGAGAAAGCCATCGACGACATGCCCATGAACTCAGCCCCAGGCCGAGACTCGTGGAACTCTGTGTTCATCTAGAACTGCAAGAAACCCCTCTCACAGGCCCTAAGTATGCTATGGAGAAGGAGCATAGAAACATGTGAGATTCCACAATCACTAAAAGCATCAGATATAGCCCCACTCCATAAAGGTGGCAGCAAAGCAGTAGCCAAGAACTATAGACCAATAGCTTTAAGGTCCCATATCATAAAAATCTTTGAAAGAGTTCTAAGAAGCAGGATAGCAAACCACCTGGACTCCCAAAAGTTGCACAACCCAGGGCAATATGGTTTCAGAGCAGGTCGCTCCTGCCTCTCACAACTACTGTACCACTATGATATGGTCTTAGATGCACTGGAAAACAAACAATGCAGATGTAGTATACACAGATTTTGAAAAAGCCTTTGACAAGTGCGACCATAGTGTAATAGCACACAAAATGCGAGCTGAAGGGATAACTGACAAAGTAGGAAGATGGATCTTCAACTTTCTAACCAATCGAACACAAAGAGTAGTGGTAAACAGAGTTAAATCGGATGTTGCCCTAGTGAAGAGCTCTGTCCCACAAGGCACAGTACTCGCCCTTATCCTGTTCCTCATTCTCATATCAGACATAGGCAGAGATGTATCATCCTTTGCAGACGATACTAGGATCTGCATGAGTGTGTCATCCATTGAGGACACGGCAAAGCTCCAAGAAGATATAAATCAAGTTTTCCAATGGGCAACAGAGAACAATATGATGTTCAATGAAGACAAATTCCAACTACTCCGTTATTGAAAACTGGAGGAAATAATAACTAGGACTGAGTATACTACAAACTCTAATGTCCGAAGACCTCACTTTCAAGGACCACAACAATGCTGCTATCATATTTGCGAGGAAACTGATAGGATGGATAATGAGAACATTCAACATTCCCATTAACATCCCCATTCAAGGTAGGTGCAATTGCAGATCTAGAGAATGTTCAGAGAACCTTCACTGTACGAATAAGTTCCATCAAACACCTTAACTACTGGGAGCGCCTGGAAGCACTTGACTTGTACTCACTGGAGCGCAGGTGAGAAAGATATATCATAATCTACACCTGGAAGATTCTGGAGGTACTGGTTAATAATTTGCACACAGAAATCACTCCATACGAAAACAAAAGACTTGACAGGCGATGCAACATACCCCCAGTGAAAAGTAGGGGCGTCACTGGTAGACTAAGAGAAAACACAATAAGCGTCCTGGGCTCAAGACTGCTCAGCAGCCTCCCACCAGCCATAAGGGGCATTATCAGTAGACCCCTGGTTGTCTTCAAGAGAGAGCTGGACAAACACCTAAAGTCGGTGCCGGATCAGCGGGGCTGTGGTTCTTACGTTGGACTGCGTGCGACCAGCAGTAACAGCCTCGTTGATCAGGCCATGACCCACCGGGAGGCATGGTCGTGGACCGGGTCGCGGGGGCGTTGATCCCCCGGAATACCCCACAGGTAGGTAGACCACTGCGACCACAAATGCTAGTTTTAACAGATGAATCTCCCGCAAGGGTGGCCGTGACGAACCCTCACCAGTACCCTGGTGTTCAGCCTCACCAGTACCCTGGTGTTCAGCCTCACCAGTTCCCTGGTGTTCAGCCTCACCAGTTCCCTGGTGTTCAGCTTCATCAGTACCCTGGTGTTCAGCCTCACCAGTACCCTGGTGCTCAGCCTCACCAGTACCCTGGTGTTCAGCCTCACCAGTACCCTGGTGTTCAGCCTCACCAGTTCCCTGGTGTTCAGCCTCACCAGTACCCTGGTGTTCAGCCTCACCAGTTCCCTGGTGTTCAGCCTCACCAGTACCCTGGTGTTCAGCCTCACCAGTACCCTGGTGCTCAGCCTCACCAGTACCCTGGTGTTCAGCCTCACCAGTACCCTGATGTTCAGCCTCACCAGTACCCTGGTGTTCAGCCTCACCTGTACCCTGGTGTTCAGCCTCAAAAGTACCCTGGTGTTCAGCTTCACCAGTACCCTGGCGTTCAGCCTCACCAGTAACCTGGTGTTCAGCCTCACAAGTGCCCTGATGTTCAGCCTCACCAGTACCCTGGTGTTTAGCCTCACCAGTACCCTTGTGTTCAGCATCACCAGTACCCTTGTGTTCAGCCTCTCCAGTACCCTGGTGTTCAGCCTCACCAGTACCCTGGAGCTCAGCCTCACCAGTACCCTAATGATCAACCTCACCGGTACCCTGGTGTTCATCCTCACCAGTATCCTTGTGTTCAGCCTCACCAGTACCCTCGTGTTCAGCCTCACCAGTTCCCTCGTGTTCAGCTTCACCAGTATCCTCGTGTTCAGCCTCACCAGTGCCTTTGTGCTCAGCCTCACCAGAAACCTAGTGTTCAGCCTCAGCAGTACCCTCGTGTTCAGCCTCACCAGTACCCCGGTGTTCAGCCTCACCAGTACCCTGGTGTTCAGCCTCACCAGTACCCTGGTGTTCAGCCTCACCAGTACCCTGGTGTTCATCCTCACCAGTACCCTGGTGTTCATCCTCACCAGTACCCTGGTGTTCAGCCTCACCAGTACCCTGGTGTTCAACCTCACCAGTACCCTGGTGTTCAGCCTCACCAGTACCCTGGTGTTCAGCCTCACCAGTACCCTTGTGTTCAGCCTCACCAGTACCCTGGTGTTCAGCTTCACCAGTACCCTGGTGTTCAGCCTCACCAGAACCCTGGCGTTCAGCCTCACCAGTTCCCTTGTGTTCAGCCTCACCAGTACCCTGGTGTTCAGCCTCACCAGTACCCTGGTGTTCAGCCTCACTAGTACCCTTTTGTTCAGCCTCACCAGTACCCTGGTGTTCAGCCTCACCAGTACCCTCGTGTTCAGCCTCACCAGTACCCTGGTTTTCAGCCTCACCAGTACCCTGGTGTTCAGCCTCACTAGTACCCTGGTGTTCAGCCTCACCAGTACCCTAATGTTCAGCCTCACCAGTACCCTGGTGTTCAGCCTCACCAGTACCCTTGTGTTCAGCCTCACCAGTATCCTGGTGTTCAGCCTCACCAGTACCCTGGTATTCAGCCTCACCAGTACCCTGGTGTTCAGCCTCACCAGTACCCTGGTGTTCAGCCTCATCAGTACCCTGGTGTTCAGCCTCACCAGTACCCTGGTGTTCAGCCTCACCAGTACCCTGGTGTTCAGCCTCACCAGTACCCTGGTGTTCAGTCTCACCAGTACCCTCGTGTTCAGCCTCACCAGTACCCTGGTGTTCAGCCTCACCAGTACCCTGGTGTTCAGCCTCACTAGT